TTTGTATAGAAAGGTTAGGGCTGCCCCAGACATTTTATTGCCATTGTAGGGATACTCTTTTGTCTTGTATAGGCCCACAAAATTTTTAACGAGGCTCCAAGCCAAGTCTTTCGATAATAATGGAATAATAATGTTTTTCGGCCATCATATATATATAAAATGAAGAATATGAAATAAGTTATAATATGATAGAATAGTACGTTGAAATTATAAATTTGTGTTTTGCGTTTTTTAGTTTTGACTTCTATTATATGTTACTTTATTTTTTTTAAAAATAAGAATATTAAATATTTATAATTAAAAAAAAAATTTGGGGTCACTTAAAATCACCGACTTTTGAGTAAATTGAAAATCACCGATCGACTAATTTATATGTGGGTCACTTAGAATATCGGTCTGACTATAATGATCGGTTAATTATCAATTGTCGGTCAAGACAAGTGGATCGGTTGACCGATAAAATTAAACGGACAGATACCCAACCCCACGTGCATATGCTCATATCAATTTGTGCAATGTTTTGGGTGTGGGGAAATTCTTGAATGAATTTAGATGTGGGATAAGTGGAGAGCGTTCCTAACGGCCATATTCTTTATCAGACGGATCCAAATTATTTATTGAATTGCCCCACTTCTTCATTGTAAATAAAGCTGCTTTAAAAAGTTTACAGGCTCCAACTTTTTTGTTATAATTAAGCCCAAACAAAAAATTAATAAATAATATTTATAGAAATAGTTTCATTCTCTATACTTTTGCCAACTCAAAGAACCATTTTTGGTAGTGTTTGCAAAAGCTTTTCGAAACAGCTTATGAGCTTTTTCTGCTTATAATTCGTTTCTAGGTGTTCGTGAAATCAGATTTTGCTTTTGATTCTTTTAAAATTAGTTGTTTTCAGCTATTTTTTAGAAAACACCAATAAACCCGTTTTTTTCTATTTAAGTTTGTTTTCCTATTTTTGCAAATACCCTAAACACTTAGAAATAAACATTTAATACTACTTAACTCACAATCACTAACTTCTACTTTTGAATAAGCTTTTGCAAACACCACCTAAATCGTAAGTGTCGTAACTCATAAATCAAGAACTAATTCATTAGTTATGAAGTTGTGTTTTTCCTTGAGTTTCCCTAATGATAAATGTCTGAATCGTTGTAATCATAGTAACTTAATAATTATTTATTTTTAAAAGTTGGGAGCGCTTTCAAAAAATTTGATGATAAATAAACTCTACACAATCAATTTATAAGTTGGACGTGTTTATCAAATAAATTTTAATTTCAATTTATAAAAGTTGGATCTAATTAAGCCAAAATACATACCTTAGTTATTGGTCAAAGTTTGATAAACACCAACACTTCAAAACTAATTAATTTTATCTACAAAATTGACAATTAATAATAATTAATTAATGAATAAATGTGGTCCTCTAATAAATTAATTATAGTGACAGAGCTAAGGGAGAATTTTGCAAGGCATCTTTAGGGGCAGTGTGCCACCTGCAGAAAATATTGCTGTTTTTTTTGTCCTCTATTGTGTTTTCATGGAAGTATAAAAAAACAAACTCTTTTTTTCAAAAGACAAAATCAGAATCTTTAAATACAAAATTATATTCCTCTATTATATATATAAATAATAAATAAATAAAATGTCATTTGAAATATATTTATGTATTATATGATAATGTTATGTGGATAGAATTATGAAACGTAAATTCGTGTTTGTGATGTTGTAACGTGTGGCTCGTGGAATAGTATATGTTACATCGAATGAAATACAGTAGGTGTGTGCGTTGCATATGTTTACACACAATCACTTTTATATGAATACATACATGTATATGGTTGAAAATGTTGTTTATCACATGTATTATAATAAATTAATAATATATAATACATGAATAAAGTATCTCTTACATGTCAAAACTTATATGTAAAATTTGTTTTGTCTGTACTTAAATGTTTTGTTTTAAATCTTGTTTTATAAAGCTTTTAATTTAGTTACACTTTCTAATTGATTCATGGTCAGAACGTATTAATTTCAAGTTACTCTTGATATTCACTATTAATATTACTCACGCTGGCTTCCATTTAAGATTTTCGCTTGGTCATTCATTTTAATTTCTAAATATTTTCGCGCAAAATTTACAAATTATTGAGAGAAAAAAAAAAAACATGTTTAAATTATAACGAATTTTGACTCGTGAATGTTGAGTCATGCTATTAACTCGCCTGAAAATCCACAAGTGTGGTTCCTTAAAATGAACCCACGGGTTTATGACTTGCGCACACCCCTAGGGTAAATGCCGAAATTAAAGATCCCGCGATCACTAAATTTCAATTTTTCGGCTCAATTAGGAACATAATTACTAGAAAATTTGTGTTTTAAAGATATTTCTTTCAATTGAGAGTTTGATGATTAATTTTGGCTGATTTTAACACCATTCACTATATTTCTAATTCTACATTAAAAAAAAAAAAGTAGATCTTGTCACATATTTACATAATCACATGATTATGGCCTTATGAGTTGTCTTAGGGATTGGACTCATTCAAACATTCTTGTTCAAATTGCTCAATTTGGGAAAAAAATAAAAAATAGTTCAAATAATTAGGTAATTTTATTTATTCATCAAATAACATACAAGGAAAGAAAGATAATAATTTTTGGTAGCTACACAAAATCACATTCTTTCTAGCAAACAAAATTTCCCCATCATAAAAAAATCTTCGTCACGAAATATCGTCGATTACAACTTGAATAAAATACCGAATATCAAACAAATTATAACCAAACCAATTTTTGTAATAAAAAAAATTAAACAAAAAAAAAAGGCTTATTTAATTACCATATATTAATTAATTGTTTGTTACCTAGAAAAAAAAAATGAAGGAATTAAGCACTTAATACAAAATAAGTTCTTGATAAGCTTTTGAAAAAAGCACATGGGGGGTGGGGGGGTAGGGGGGGTGGAGTAAAGGCAAAGATGAAAATATAACCGTTGGGCCAAACAAGGAACAGCGCGACCTTTCATCCAACGGCCATAATTTACTAGCCGTTGTTTTCAAACATATGAAAAAGAGAAAAATTAAAATTAAAAGATTTACGTATGGGCAGACATATATCCGCTGTTTACGTTCTCTCCAAATTTCTCCATTGACGACCCCCTTCTTCTTTTCTCTGCATTTCGATCATCCAGAGAGAGAGAGAGAGAGAGAGAGAGAGAGAGAGAGAGAGATAGATCGCTTCTTTTTAATCTCCAGTGATTGATTTTGATGGGATTTTCGTTCTAGCCTTCGATTCGGAATTAATCGAAACTTTTTTTTCTGGGATTTGGGATTCTTGATTTTGGAGGTTGGCCTGATTTTTTTATTTTTTTTAAATATTTTCTGATGTGGGGTTCTGTTAATTATCCTCGATTCTTGATTTTTTTTTTCTGAATCTGTAATTATTTTCAAATGTTAATTTGATCCCTTTAATTTAATTTAATTTTGAATTAAATCATTTTTTTAATTTGCAGTAGCTGTTGTTAGAGAGAGAAAGAATAAAGATGGGATCAGATGAGAATTTTTCCGGTGTGATCAGACATTCAAACACTCAAGGTATGCAGTCTCATACTTAAATTAAACCTAAAAAATATTTGATAATTGTGTGATTAAATTAATGAAATTAATTGTGTGATTAAATATTGAATTAGGGTTAATGAGGGGTGGGGGTGGAAAATTAACAGGAGGAATTGGGAATAATAATAATAATCGAAGAGCGTTGAGTACAATCAACAAGAACATCATTGTAGCTCCTCCTTACCCTTGTGCTGTTCATAAAAGAGCTATTCTTAAAGAGTAAGATTTTTTAATTTATTTTTATTTTTTATTTTTTATTTTTTAATTTATTTTTATTTTCAAAACCCATATTTCTTTGATTAATAATAATATTGTCTTGATCAGGAAAAATGCAGCTGCTGCTAATAAATGTCCCGTTATTCCGATTCATCGTCCCGTTACTAGGTTCGTTAATTCTCGCCTTTCTTGTTGTACTTAAAAATATATTCTTGATCTTGATCTTGATAAATAAATAATATATTTATATTCTTGATGAATTTCCAGGAAATTTGCTGCACAATTAGCTGGAAAACAGCAGCAGGTAATTGCAAGAAATATATTGTCTTTAATTCTAATTTAAAAAAAAAAATTGTGTGGATTTAATTTGGCTAAGATGAATTTGAATATTGTGTTATTATTATTTATTGCAGGTGGTTTCGAGTGCGAATAGTTCCGAAGATTGCGTTATAATCGACGCAGACGAATACAAGAATGTGGATGACCACGATGTGCCGATGTTCGTGCAGCACACCGAAGCTATGCTCGAAGAGATTGATCGAATGGTAGCAAATTTTATTTATTATATAACTAAATAAATAAATAAAATTGATTTAGGATATTGGATTTTAATTCCTTTATTTTAAATTTGATTTTAGGATGCAGAAATCGAAATGGAAGACGTAAACGAGGAGGAGTTGGAGGAGGCGATAGTCGACATAGATATTTCTGATAAGAAAAATCCACTTGCTGTTACTGAGTACATTGATGACATTTATGCTTATTACAAGAAAACTGAGGTGAATTATCTTTATTTATATACATACACATATAAATATATATATATGTTTTTATATTTTCTTGAATGTGTGGAATTTGATTTGCAGAGCTCAAGCTGTGTGCCGACAAACTATATGTCGCAGCAATTCGACATTAATGAAAGAATGAGAGGTATTCTTATTGACTGGCTGATTGAGGTAAAAATCGAATCTTTTTTTTACTAATAGTGTCGAACCCCTTAAATAGTTCGAAGAATGTGAATTTTGTTAAGAAAATCGAATTTTTTTTACTTGTAGTGTCGAACCCCGTAAATAATTCGAAGAATGTGAATTTTTGTTAAAATATCGAATCTTTTTTACTAATAGTGTCGAACCCCGTAAATAATTCGAAGAATGTGATTTTTTGTCAAAATATCGAATCTTCTTTACTAATAGTGTCAACCCCTTAAATAATTCGAAGAATGTGAATTTTAACAATCGAATCGTTTCCACTAATAGTGTCGACCCCTTAAATAATTTGAAGAATGTGGATTTTTGTTAAAAAATCGAATATTTTCTACTAACAGTGTCGAACCCCGTAAATAATTCGAAGAATGTGATTTTTTTGTTAAAAAAGTCGATTTTTTCTACTATTAGTGTCGAACCCCTTAAATAATTCGACGAATGTGATTTTTTGTAAAAAAAATCGAATCTTTTCTACTAATAGTGTCGAACCCCGTAAATAATTCGAAGAATGTGGATTTTTGTTAAAAAAATCAAATCTTTTCTACTAATAGTGTCCAACCCCGTAAATAATTCGAAGAATGTGGATTTTATTTTTGATTTTTTATTTTTGCAAGATTTATTGACATTTTAAATGTTGTATATGTGTGTGTGTTATAGGTGCATTACAAGTTCGAACTGATGGATGAGACGTTATATTTAACCGTAAATCTGATCGATAGATTTCTAGCGGTTCAATCGGTTGTGAGGAAGAAACTGCAATTAGTTGGTGTTACTGCTATGCTCTTAGCCTGCAAGTATGAAGAAGTTTCTGTGCCAGTTGTGGAGGATCTTATACTTATATCCGACAAAGCTTATTCGAGACAAGAAGTGCTTGATATGGTATTTTTATAATTCGATTGTTCGATAAAAAATTGAATCTTTTTACGTAAATTTCTTTTTTAACTTTTTTTTTTTTGCTTTGTGGTGTAGGAGAAGTTGATGGTCAATACCTTACAGTTCAATATGTCGGTGCCAACTCCATACGTGTTCATGAGGCGATTCTTGAAAGCTGCTGAATCCGATAAAACGGTTGGTTTTTTTTTTTCCTTTTTTTTTTTTTTTTTTGTGTTTTTAAAGTATGATAGATATAACTTCGATTTTCACCGATTAATGGGAAACTTTTTTTTCTTCTAATGAACCTGAACTGTACTTAGTTGGAGCTGCTATCGTACTTCATAATCGAACTGTGCCTGGTTGAGTACGAGATGCTTCGATTCCCGCCTTCTTTGTTAGCAGCTGCTGCAATCTTTACTGCTCAATCTACTCTTAGTGGAAGTAAGGTGTGGAGCAAGACAAGTGAGAGGCACACAAATTACAACCAAGATCAGCTCCTGTAATTAACTACACCTCTCTCTCTCTCTCTCTCTCTCTCTCTCTCTCTCTCTCTCTCTCTCTCTCTCTCTCTCTCTCTCTCTCTCTCTCTCTCTCTCTCTCTCTCTCTCTCTCTCTCTCTCTCTCTCTCTCTCTCTCTCTCTCTCTCTCTCTCTCTCTCTCTGTGTTAATATATTCTTGATTTTTATTTTTATATTTATGTGTGTAGAGAATGTGCAAGACTGATGGTAAGTTTCCATCAGAAGGCGGGAAGTGGTGGGAAGCTGAACGGTGTGCAGAAGAAGTACGCTACATCGAAATACGGATATGCATCAAAGGCGAAACCTGCGGTTTTTCTCATTGATGATGAATTACTAACAAACTAAATAGAAGGGGGGATTACTACTATTAATTTGATGGTCAAATGCAATGTAACAACAATGATGTAGTTTGCTTCTGTCTGTCTGTCTGTGTGTGTATTTTGGGGTTTGTGGGGGGTGGTTGGGTAATATTGAGCAACACAAGTTGCCCCCTTAGTTTTCGATTTTCTCTCGACTTTTTTTTAACTGCTCTCTTTCTGATGGGATGGATTTATAATGTAATTTTCTCCAAGAAAATTCCCTTTCTTTTCTTTCTTGTTTATAATAAATCTGGTTTATTCATTTTCATCTACTTTCCCCCTTGCTATTATTGGATATTCATATAACTATGCCTCTACACGAAGCGAGTACGATGATCATGGTACTCGTGTGATTGTTTCGTAGATTTAAAGTAACACGTTCTTTCACATAATGCAGCATCTACGAAAATCAACCCACTAATGAATGCATTTGGCAAGTAATATAAATCTCCATGAAGGTAAATTACGCCACCCCTGAGGTAAGGTCAAATTACGAAAACCACCCCCTCAAGCATAATGGATTTTTTCGTAATTTGACCTTATTATTATTATTATTTTTTTTCAAACAAAAAATGATATAATTGAAAGAAAAAAAACTTAAAAAAGCATAAGAATTGAGTTTATTGTATATAAAAAGATGATAAAATCACTACTTTTAATTATTTTTTTAAACAGAGAGATAGAAATAAGGCAGAAGAAGATGGTCAGTCATCTGACTGATGATCATCTAGCAGTGGTACTAGTAGCTTCTTAACAAGTTCATCTTTACTATTTTCAGTTTCCACCACTTGTGCTGCTGCACTTTTCGACGAATCCTCGTTTACTCCCTCTTCTACTCTATTATAAACCTGCACAATTTACTCAATCTGCTAACTACCAGATTCAAATCGAAAGATACAAGTGAATTAAGTGAACCGCCGCTTAATTTGGTTACTGCTCTCAGTATTTTTATCATCCCACCGAAATTGAAAATAAAAAATTCTACTTTGCAATTACATTTCTCATTAAAAAGATGCAATAAGGCCTGAGAGAATATTCAAAAGGTGCAAAGATTAAAAAAAAAAAAAACATACCACACATGTACGAGGAGGAGAAAGCACTTTGAAGGAATTGGGACGGTTATTAAAATTTGTTTCAGGAACACCAGGTACACCTTCCGGGGTTGTGAAATGGTCCACGTCGTGGCTCACCTGTCAATATATAAAACGGCTTGATAAAAATGAATTACCCGAATATCTAAACTTTTTAACACTTTAATAAGTAGCAGCAATGTGGTCATATTTTTGTAAAGCTTAGGCACATTCAAATGATGCATTTACAGAAATGAAAACAAGAAACTTTTGAGCGAACTTATTTACAAGTTTGACATCTTTTCAATTATTTCGATGAAGCCCTTCACCAAATCAACACTAATATTTTTCTTGTTCGGAGAGAGGGATTTGTACAAATGTTCTTACTCTTCCAGGTCCGCCGAATTCCCAAGCATCACTGTCCAAAGCAACTCTATATTTTCCTGGCAAGTCACAACCGACTTTGTACCTGTACAAGGACGTTTTGTTAAGAATATTTCATCAAAACAAAAGAATAGTAAACTGAAGATTTTAAGTTGTGTTTTCACTCAAAATGTATAAAAATGGAGCCGGACAATTCAATTTCTTAATAAGAAGTATACCCTTCATATGTATTTTCTGGGTGGAAGTTAAACACAAATACTAGATCCCCACGTTCGAAAACAATGACCTGTAATGAACATATAAAAAAATATTAAAATATTGAATTTATTTCTGAATGTCATATGAAAGTACCATTTCCGAAACACTGAAGCAAGTTATCAGAAGCTCTTTTTGCAACAAAAGTTAAAATATATCCGTGCTAGAAAGCTTTGATTCTATCTAATAAAACTACTGTTACCTTTCGAACTTCATCCGTGCTACTCACAATCTGTTTTGCTGATGCGAGAAACTTAAATTTTTCATCAAGCAAATTCATGGCTCTGTCAAAAGCATTCAGAAACTGCATTTTACAATCACAGTAGAGAATGTTAGTTATTGCCTGGAAAATTGGATTGGATAGAGCTCTCGTTTTTTTTCCTCTTCTGTGCAAGTCATAAACTTTTGTGATTAATAATAGATGGCACTGAAAATGGACTTCGAATCAATGTCTGAAAAGCACAAAATCATAATAAAAAAATGCATTTAATGGCACCGAAAATGGACCTTGAATCTTAGATGATCTGTATCCACGAGATCCCATTGGCGTCTGCACTTATCAGAACTCCAACCATTGCCTTCTCTAGGGAAGTCTATCCAATCTGGATGCCCAAACTACAATAAATATTGATTAGATAATATTTCATTGCTGTTGAAAGACTGGACAAAGAACTACTGTAACTGTGAAAGTTAAAAATTATATATTTGCCTATTTTATGTAAGGAACTCTTTCTAGACGATTGGCTACTTAATGAGCAATTCTTTTAAAACAGTTTTTAACTTATTAAACTTTCTTCCAATTGTTAACAACATTACATAATAAGAAAGTGATGTGCAATATTTGCAACCTTACTCAGTTCTCTTATTTATAAACATTAAGCAATCTATCCACTATCAATCTTCATCATCTACAATAAGGTCTGCCTACCTCATTTCCCATGAAATTAAGATAACCCTCTCCTCCTAATGCCATTGTTAAGAAATGAATCATCTGCAGAAAAAAAAATATAACAATTTTATGACATGTGCTTCAGACAAGAAACGAAGTCACCATCTCTAATGCACAATGAATACAAAATTGTTTAAATAACCTTGTGAAGTGCAATTCCACGCTCAATTACTGGAGAAGCTTTGGTCAAACAGGACATACCAGAATACATTTCTTTATCCATCAGGGAAAATGCAATTGTTTTATCACCCACAATAGCCTATTCATGGAATAAGAACACGTAATATTATCAGTACAGGAGAAATTAGTCCTGAAAGAGATGGAAATCGATATCAAATTATTTAAGAGATCCCCACTACACGAGATTGGCAGATTTATTCAGTATTTTATTTTTCCTAGAAACTAAATTTAGCAAAAGGGCCACTGGGACAAACAGTCAATATATTGGAAGAGAGACACCGACACACAATGATGTAACAGAAAAACGTAGTGATATTTTTAGGTATAATCAGAGTAAAATAGAAGTAGAGGGTCCATAAAGTGAGACCCGAATAAGAGATACATTTTTTGGTTCGAGTTGAGCTGTACAGTACCTGGTCATGACTCTCAGCATATGCTATACACTTTTCAGTGTATCTCCTATTTGTCAAACTCCATGATATATCACCCACTGACCATTCTTCGTCATTCTTATTCTTCAAATAGTCAATCCATTTGTCAGGAACGGCCATTGCCAGGCGGTAGTCAAATCCAATCCCGCCCTCGAACACAGGTCGGCTAAGTCCAGGCATTCCGGAAACATCTTCAGCAATCACAGTTGCATCAGGCAAGATACTGTGTATTAAATTATTAGCCAACATCATATAAACCACAGCATCGACATCTGTGGACTCACTAAAGTACTCACTATAGTTCCCAGTGAACCCCATGTTTATTCCATGATGATGGTACAACATCGATGTCACTCCATCAAATCGAAATCCATCAAACTTAAACTCATCCAGCCACCACCTCAGATTCGACAGAAGGAATCGGAGGACCTCCCAATTGGCATAGTTGAATACTCTGCTATCCCACAATTTGTGATAGCCTCGATCTCCAGTGTGAAAGTAAGAATCTTGAGAGCTTTGTCCAACATCAAAACCGTTAAGTCCATCAGTGATATTGTTACTTGCATGGCTGTGAACCACATCCATCAATACTTGAAGACCTAAGCTATGTGCTTTATCAATCAAATACTTAAGGTCTTCTGGGGTCCCGGATCGACTGCTCACTGCGAAGAAGTTTGTGACGTGATATCCAAACGATGCGTAGTAGGAATGCTCCATTACAGCCATCAACTGGACTGTATTATAATTGTTTGCTCGAATACGAGGCAAAATGTCGTCTGCAAACTCCCTATATGTATTTATACGGGGCTCCGAACTACTCATTCCAACGTGCGCTTCATATATTCGTGGTGCGGCCGGTTTAGGTGGACGAGGGTGTTTGAACTGGTACCTGCATGGCTAATGATATGTGAGATTGTTTACTGATGTCTAATTACTTTGGAGAATATCGTTAATGCCATGCTTTTTCTCCAATTAAAATTTCAAACTTAATCAAGAACTTTCTTGGATTTGGTGATAGAATACTTTACTGATGGAAGAACTTTTGTAGACCTACAGAAACTCGTAAACTTTAAGTCTGTAGCTGAAAATGCTTGTTTCAATCTTTATATTTTAGTTGCTTTTGGAATACCTCTCTGAAGGTGGTGGGTCCCAGTATACACCATCATAAGGTGCAGCGAATCTTGTAGGATCCTGAGTCGCGTACGTTATCCAGGCAGGGATTCGGTCAACCCATACTCCATTGCTATGCTTAAACCTGAACTTGACTCTTGAATTGTGTGGAATGGCTGGATTCCCAGAAAAATCAGGAATCGTGATACTCCATACACCAAATTCATTTTTCACCATCTTGTGGCCAGAACCATCCCACCCGTTAAAATCACCAATAACTTGTGCTTCCCTGAGTTACAAACAAGTTAAATGTGAGGCTATCAACTAGAATGAGACAATTAAGTCAACATTAGAAAGATCACATGTGTTGCATGTGCAGAAACATGTGTATATAGGTCTCTTTGATTCTACGTTGATAGAAAATTATCTCAATTTCACCCTGTCAACCTATTAACTTAAATATGTTTTTTCAGTTTATTTTGACCCAGTTCATACAAAGAGTTAATTCATCAAAATACTATTTCTTGGCTAAATTTTATTTTAGTTGGGACATTGTAAGGTCCAGGATTAGGTCTAAGTAGCTTAGAGGATTTAGAAATCTAAATGTTTTCTTCATCTCAAAGGTCGTATTTGTTATTAATCAAGAGTACTAAGTAAAGGCACGAATGACTTCTGGCAATTGAAAACAAACACTTTCTAGGACTCACACTTTGTAGAAGCGCGTACACGTAGACAAAAATAAAGGATATTAAATGAAAACTCGTATATCTATCTATGAGATCAACATACTCACTCTGCAGCTGGGGCCCATTCACGGTACACAATGCCACCTTCTTCTCGGTTAAACCCAAATTTCAAATAACCTAAATATAGTAGTATGATTAGCATTCAACATAATGGCATCTTCTACAGTGAAGAATTCAATTTATAAAATCCTTTGATCTCATAAAATTGCAACGGTTTATAAAAGTATCAGTTGTACAAAATATAAAACTAATATAGAAGTTTGATATGTTAAGTTGCAAGGTAGAGGAGAATCTGAACTGTACACTTTAAATAATTTAAACATATATGCGAAGCAATTCCCCTGCATTTCAATTTCCATCGTATTACCTTGTGAAAATTCTCCAAGGCTTCCTTCATGTTTTTCAATGAGCTTTTTCTGATCTGCATATCTCCTTACTCTGTATCTGAAATGATCTTTATAAGCTTCCAAACCTGGATCTAAACTTAAGAGGCCAATGTTTTCAGTGCCTTCCTCCATATTTACTACCGTAGAATGGTCGTCGATCAGAACTGCTGACATAGATGAACCGCACACCTAATAGAAAAGTTCAAAACGGAACTATTTAACTCTCAGTATGCAGAAAAAATAGATACAATTTACCAATGCATTGTTTCTAATACATTCATGTGCGCAGAGGTGCTTATTATGTGCTAGTACTTTTCATTGCTTGATGCAGGATAATCCATTAAAGTATGATTTGAGATATTCATACTACAAAAACCATGATGCATCGATTAAATGTAATCCTTTTTTTGTATTGTTGTCACAATCTTTCAATACTAAGAAATATAAATATCAAACATCACGGCATACCTTTCCATGTGATATAAAATTATATGGGGAAATAGCTCTGCTATTATTAGATAGCAGTTTTTTGGAGATAACACTGACTCCAGACGGTTGCTTTTTTATACACCTACCACTGATTGGAGCCTGTCAAACAAAACTCAAAATAAGTCTCCATTACAACTACTCGACTATATTTACTATAATCTAAATCAAAATTCCTTCCACCGCATTTCAACGAAAAAAGCAATAGAAAACAGACATTTGTCTCTCATCCAGAAACAAATTAGCAAACTAAAAAATTTAAGAAATTTGTCTCTTCCCAAACCATTTTCATGTTAGTCGTGGGATTTCCCTATTTTCCGATTTCCAGTCTATTTTTTTTCTTTTTTCCTTCTTTTCTGACTATGTATGACCTTTTTATACTACACACCTTAATTCAAAGAAAAACTAAAGTCTAATCAGCCCTTTGAACGATCACACCGAATCTATGTAGCACGGACACGAGAACTCGGACACGGGGAAACTCCATTTTCCAAACAGTTGGATACGGGAACGTGGGGGAAATGTGTAAATAATAAAAATATAGGGGTGGATTCATAATTTCTAAAAATTAATGTTTAATATCATTCCACAAATTACATTCGGGGCATATAAATTTATTTTAGTATGGAATTAACATCTACAAAAATATTAAAACACTACTAGAAGTGAAAAGGCGACGTAATATAATAATATTTAAGATTTTTTTTAAGCATATGCAATTCGGAGCTTTTATTCAAAATGAAATTTGGATTTATTTTGTGTGGAAACGCGTTTCCAATTTTTCATTATTACCAGAAACGTCCCCGAAACTTTTAAATATTCATGGAAACGGCCCCGAAACGCTTCCGACAGGTGTCATTGAGTTTCGGTTTCCGAAACGTGGAAACGCGTGTGGGTTGAAGTTTCCGTGCATCATAGCACCAAATCGATCATGTACATACACATAATAAGTCATCTCCTAAAGTATGATCCATACAGTAAGAAGCTCAAATCATACGCCTAATCGTACGGATCAACTGACCGCACTTCCAAAGTTAACTTTTCATAAATCAATCATTCCACAGAAATCTAATTCAATAATTAAACCATAACTTTTTAGCATCATTTCCACTTATATTTCTTCACTTGATATTTTTTTTTCTCCGGCAATTTCAGAAAAAATAGGGATATTATGTAACAAAAAAAATAAAAATAAAAAATCTGCATATCACCACTAATATTAAGCAAGCTCCATGATAATCAATTTGAGACAAAGATCGATGAAAATAAACCAGAAATTGAATTATTCAAACGAAGAAATAATGGAGAAAAAGAAGAAAAAAAAAACATGAATTAAAATTGAATTTACCGCTGCGGATTCTTCACTGGAGAGCGGAAACGAAGACCTAAGCGCAGGCGTAGAGAGAAGATTGCACGAACTGTACATTTTCTCTCTCAGGAAATCAGTTTAGAGAAGGAACTGTAGAGTAGAGAGAGAGAAGAGAGAGAGAGAGAGAGATCGGACGAATTGAACATTTCTCATATGACATGGCATTTTGTCGACAATAATTTATTAGGAAAGTTTCTGTTAATGCCAGAGAGATTAACTTAACGCCAGATCAAATTCGTACTATTTGACATATTTACCCTTCTAGATGGAATTTGTCAAAAGAAAAAAGAGATGAAAAGTGAAAACTCACTTATGAGTTATGATAGATAATTAAATGATCAACCAACTTTGGATTGGAAATTTCAATATTCCGTCAATTTCGATCTGAAAATTTCCAATTTCGGAACATTTTTGATCTTTTCGATTTTTTAAACTCCTATATCCGATTTTTTTGCTTTTGCTAGATTTGAATTTGAAGTATATAGAAATAAATTATAATTTCAAATTTTTTATCTTGTTATTGCCTATTCTAGCAAAACCACCTGAAATGGGAAAAGGACAAAAGTTTGATCAATCTATATCGAGAATTATTGATATTTTAATTTCCGAAGTAATTCAAAAAAAACGAACCTTGAGAATAAACAATATATGCTTATTTTACTCAGTAAAAAACTAATTAAATATTTAGTTATATTTTACTTTATAAGTCATTTCGTATAGTCTAATGTTTTTTTCTCAGCGCTATTTTTCATTAACGTAAAGCCCTAATATATTTTTCTCCACACACTTCGCCTCATTCACGACAACTCCCAATTTTTTTTTCCGACAATTTTAGAACTTATGTGATTACTGAAATTTCTCGTACTTCTGGAATCATAAATGATTACTAGATTGAAATTAGAAGTAGTTTTGTACTTTAGAAATTCTATTAGATATTTTCTGAAGACACTAGTACCGATTTGTTCGATCCAACTTTCATCCCTTGAAACCGAAACAAAAACCAAAAACCAAAACCGAAAATCCAAAACTCAAAACCGAAACCCGAAAACCATTACACATGGTATAGCATAGATAAAGACCCCTATTATTATCAAAGGGGCTTGCTATTATCAGTGCGGTTTTTTCCAGCTACAGTGCGAAATAATTCATTTGTCAAAAAACACTTTAACCTTTTACAAAATCCTCTCAACCTCCAAATATTTCGACTTTCGTAGATCGTGATTTGTTTTCGTAGAAATCAGTTAAAACCCAACGATTATCAAGATGGCCAACATCGATCCCGTAAATGAGGTAAAAAAATACGTTTTAGTGTGATTTTTTTCGATTTTCAGTCGTTTCGTGTACAATATCACGAAATTATTCAAGTCATTTCGTGTTGTTTTGCACAAATGAACACTTTATTCGTGTTTTCCAGTCATTTCGTGTACAATACTACGAAATTGTACCTATTATTTCGTGTAAAGTCACACGAAATAGCAGTAAAACTGTTTTGTTATTCATTTCGTGCAGTACTACACGAAATGTATACATATACTTCGTGTAATTTTACACGAAATACCTAGTATTGTTATTAATTTTTTTTGTGCAAGTATCTAACCTTTTTTTTGTATTTACGCAGCCATATGACGACAATTTGTATTTTGATCCCTCGGTTTTGGATCAAAATGAATATGAAGATTTCTCTCACTTCTTCCAAGTTGATATTGTGTTCGGCAGTAGGGAAGAATTAATCAACTGGGCGAAAGAAACTGCAGTTAGTCATTGTCACCGTTTGATTTGTCAGTCTAGAAGGGAGAATGCACAGTACATGACGTGTGACAAATACGGACATGGCCGACAAACGAATATCGATGTGGAAGATCCTAGAAACTCAGGAACAAAAAAATGTGGTTGTCCGTTCAAATTGATTGGCAAAAGGTCAAGGTTTGATGAATTATGGCGGTTGACTGTCAGCGATGGCAGGCATAGTCATCGTCCGACTTTGTTTCCTCACGGACAAGGTACGACTAGTCGTATAACTCCACAACAGAGAGCAAGAATTAAAGAATTGCGAAATTCTCACGTGAAGCCAATGCTGATCATGGATAGACTGAGAAAAGATGATCCGACGATACAAACCTCTATGAAGCATGTTTATAATGAGTTGGCCAAGATTAAATCTGAGGAAATGGAGGGCATGACTGTTATTCAGTTTATGATGCATAACTTTCAAAAAGGCGAGTATCGATATTGGCATCGCGTCGATAGTGAAACGAGCAACACGATTACAGATATTATGTTTGCATGTCCCGAATCTATTAAGTTATTACGGTTGTTCCCGTACGTTATATTGATGGACTGCACATACAAAACCAATAAGTAAGTAAAAATTACGATTGTTTAAATTATGATTATTGTGTTTTAATGTCTTGTATTGTTTAAATATGTAAAAACAACATTGTTGTAGGTATGGAATGCCTCTTTTGGAAATAATTGGGATAACTCCAGTTGGGAGGAATTATACAATTGCTGTTGCATTTATGTCGCATGAAGATGCAGACACCTACGAGTGGACTTTGAATTGTTTGAAAGAGTTGCTAGATGGTGTCGAACCTGATGCGATCTTGACAGACAGAGAGTTGGGTCTTTTGAAAGCACTGCCAAATGTCTTCCCATTTTCGTATCATATGTTGTGTATATTCCATATAAACAGAAATGTTGAGGCAAATGCGACGAAATTTATGGGAGGCAACAAGGACCAAGGTCTAATATTCCGACGTGTGCTGTGGGCTAAGCTGGTGAAATCAGAAACCGAAGAAGAGTATCATTACAATTACAATGAAATTGTTGGACGGTATGCAGGGTATCCTAGGCTGATACAGTATTTGAATGATATGTGGTTGATATACAAGGAGAAGTTTGTTCGAGCCTATACTCGCAATGTGTATCATTTTGGCAACACGAGCACCAACAGGTATTACATGTTTTAGTTATTTAAATGATAAAAGATATTATATAAAAATAATATTTATTTTGTAATCTGATTGTCGTTGTATGCTTTGATTGTTGTTGTAATTGGATAGGGTGGAGAGTGCTCATTCTTCAGCGAAGGGTTGGTTAAATGCTTCGACCGGAGGTCTGGATAACGTGCAAGGCAAACTTCGGGACCAAGTTTATATCCAAATTAGTGAGCTGAAGTGCGATTTTTCATTATCATCCAAGATAAGGAAGCATACTGCAGCATGGCCGTGTTTTCAGGGTTTGATTTGTTATGTTACGCATCTGGCATTAGAGAAATTGGATGAAGAGATGGAGTCCCCGGCGATGCAAGATCCGAGTATTTGCACACACTATCTTTGGAATACTCATGGGCTCCCATGCGCGTGCAAAATTGTGCAGAAAATGGAAGATAATGACACGTTCGTCATTTCAGACTTGCATCCATTCTGGAGTACCATGGCAGTTGAGCCTTCGGAGCTACGTGAGTATCAAGTAAATCGTGAGGAGATTGTGGATAGACAGATTGATGACCTGAATTGCAATTTGAAGAAGATGAATTACACGAGTAAGATAAATGCCGTGGCCTCATTGCGTGGCATCGTTTATCCATCTACGTCGCATCTGTCCGAGCCATCATTTGTTAAGACCAAAAGACGACCAAAGAATAACTCGACAAAGAGAGACCCTTCTGGATGGCAGTATCATATTGATGAGGAGACAATTAAGTCGTCTTGTGGTTCTAAGGGTCGCCAAACCTCATCTGGTGCAAAGATTCCTAAAACAAAGGTTGAGAGAAGCACTGATGGAACGCCTCAATCGAAGATGAAAGGTCGTGGTTCTCGTATTCCCACACAAGAATCTGCTGCCCCTACAATACCTGCACATGAAGGAATAGACTTTTATTCTTTCGTGCCCAGATTTATGGTCCGTCTTATTCAAGATTATGTTAACGTGATGGCGGATGGCAATTGTGGGTACCGGTGCGTTGCTCAAGCCGTGTACGGGGATCAAGAAAGATGGCCGCAAGTGAGAGGGGAGTTGCTTATTGAGTTATACGAGCATGCTAGTGTCTACACGGCGATGTTTGGCAGTACCGGATACGTTGAGGTCATACGCAAGTGTGACTGGACCTCAGGGCCTTGTCCACAAGCTTATTGGATGGACATGAATGAAATGGGATTGGCCATTGCTACCAGATACAGTGCATTAGTGGTACTTTTGACTCAAGTAGGGAGTATGACTTACCTTCCTATGTTTGGCAGTGGTCACTTATCATGTATGATTGTTGTGACATTGCACAACAATCATTTCATGTTTGTTAATTTGGTTGCAAATAGTCCACTACCACCAATCCATCCGGCATGGGTACACCATAGAGCTAAAAACTTGAGGCACTTACTCAAAACGTACAAACCCCGACTACTCTTGTACGAACAATTAAAGTCTGGTCGGTAGTTCAATTTGTAGTTGTATCTGAAATCTAGTTGAATTTTTATTCGTATTTGAAATTTAGATCAATTTGTAGATGTATTTGAATTCTAGTTCAATTTGTAGTTGTATTTGAATTCTAGTTCAATTTGTAGTTGTATTTGAATTCTAGTTCAGTTTGTATTTGTATTTGAATTTTTAGGTCAATTTTGTATTTGAAATTTAGATCAATTTGTAGTTGTATTTGAATTCTAGTTCAATTTGTATTTGAAGTCTAGTTCAATTTGTATTTGTATTTGAACATTTAGGTCAATTTGAGTGTCTGAAATAAATTGGTTAATTAAAAAATAAATCAATTAGTGATTTCGTACTGAATTGCACGAAATGTTACTTCATATTTCGTGGAACAATCTACGAAATACGGTCTTCCATTTCGTAGAAAACTCCACGAAATATAATGTCACATTTCGTGTAAACGTACACGAAATACACGAATTTTTTCAATCTAACGGTTTCGTCCTTCGTGTTCTATAACAATAAACACTTATATTTCGTGTGAAACGACACGAAATGATTGAGTGGATTTCGTGTAATAATACACGAAATACCGGGCGAATTTGGTTTTTTTTAAGGAAAGTTACAAATGAAATAAATCGCACTGCAAGCCGGTAAAAACCGCACTATGAATAGCATTTCAGATTATCAAATCAATAAAATCACTTATAAGGGCTTAAACGTAATATCCTAAATGATTGCAAAAATTTGCTTTGGACTAGCATTATTAAATATCTTGCTGGGGCCCACCGTACCCCACATTACCAATTAAAAGCGCACATATCTTTTGGCGCTTTTTTGCTTGCTTCATTATTTGATTGATTGCATGAGGAAGCAAAGAATATTCTTTACATTTGTAATGTAGCAAATTTGCATATATTATCAAATGTAATGAAGCTAAATGCACCTCCAGTATTTGTCGGAACTTTCATGATTTTCAATAATTAATATTGAGTGTTATTAATTAGATTGTGTGGAGATTAGTTTTATTTTTTTTATTTGCTTAAAACCGTGAAGTAAATTGTCTCAAAAGCAGATTTAGCGGGATGACTTAGATACTCAAGGTTCAAATATGTGCGCATTGTCACCGTTGTCTTACTGACAAGTCCAGTTAGGGATTGGGTTTTTAAAATAACATTAATTTTCGATGTATATATATAAATGGAGTCGGCCCAAACTAAACAATTGTTTGGTCCGAACCAAATAAATAATTAACTGGCCTAAGTCCAAATAGTTAATGATCTTTACGTTTTGAATATTGCAGAACATGTGCAATTTTTTTGCTCCAAAGAGATTTGGTTTGACCGGAGGAGGCATGTCTTTTGGATTGTAAATGTATATGTAGTTCCTCCAAACCATTGCAACAATCTACGAATAGATTTCTACAGCCGATAAATAATGAATTTAATCGGGCAATTTTGGGCATAGTTTTCTCGTGTTCTTCTTTGGCCTAAAATTTCAAAATTGGCAAAGTTCACCATCAATATATGTATCTCATGCCAAAATGCACCCCATATCAATTTTGATTTAAAGAATTTGAAAATCTTGATTTAGAAGTGAAAAACGATCTTCAATCTTGATTTAAAGAATTTGAAAATCTAAAATATCCATTCCCATTTGAAAAAAAATATAATTCAAAAATTATTTCAACTTATTGTTATTTTTTTTAAGTTTTAATTTATTTTGAAAAATTTAGTTAAGACATTTAGGTGGTGTTTGCAAATAATTATTTAAAAGCAGAAGTTAGTGATTATGCATTAAGTCAATTTTAAGTGCTTATTTCTAAAAGTTGGGGGTGTTTGCAAATATTCCGGAAAATGAACTTAAATAGAAAAAACAGGGTTAGGGGTGCTTTTAAAAAAATAGCTTAAAGCAGATTATTTAAAGAGAAGCAAAATCAAAAGTTGATTTTTGCAAACACCTGAAAACAGATTGTGAGCAAAAAAAAAGCTCATAATCACTTTCAAAAAGCGTTTGCAAACACCACCATAAAATAGCATAAACTATTGAATTTTTTTTTACGATAAAGTAAGTAAATACATGACACAAAATAATTTAAATTTTTCCGTGGGACTTTTTTTAATTATCTCAGAACACTAAAAGAATAACATATATTATGTGTTTTATATATAATTTCAATTTCAATTTCAACTCGAGTAACAACTACTCTTTTGTATTTGTTTATCTACCTTATAAGCAAAATAATAGTTGAAAATTACAAAATAAGAAATAAAAAAATAGCTTTGAATTGAAACTCACTTTAAAACTTAAAAATTAAAATACCGTGATATATTGATTATTTATTTATTTATTTATTTATTTATTATTATTATTATTATTATTATTATTATTATTATTATTATTATTATTATTATTATAATAATAATAATAATAATTATTATTATTATTATTATTATTATTATTATTATTATTATTATTATTATTATTATTTAGATCTCATGAGGAATTAGATGTATGGTTGATTTGCCGTGAGATGTGTGATTGGAGGGTGGAGTTTGCCAATTCTAAAATTTCATGGTGCAAATTGCTAATCGCTGTCATTGTTGGGGTGCAAAACGCAATTCACCCATTTCTTCACTATACAATTCTATTCAGCTGATTAATTATTAATTAAATAATTCAGGAGCAGCAATTGAAGGAGCATTTCTAGGGCTTTAATGGCGTCGATCAGCAATTCAATGGAAGCGAAAGAGGACGACGACAACAACAAATACAGCATAATTGTGCCCACCTACAATGAACGCCTCAACATCGCTCTCATCGTTTACCTCATTTTCAAGCATCTCCAGTCAGTTTTTCCTCTCTCTCCTCTCTCCTCTCTCTACGTATATATATATATATATATATATATATATATATATACGTCTTTGTGTTTATCATCCTTTACTGTGTTTCAGTCGAAATATTTCTCAAATTTCATCGGATTGCAGAAGGTGGTAAAATATTATGATAGGATCTTAGATTATTATTATTATTATTTTTTTATTTTTTCGTGGTTAATTTGTAATCGCGTCGGTTGTTAGTGACCTTGATTTTATTTTATTTTTGTAAAAGATTAGCACAAAAAAGGTAAAAAAAATTCTGGAATTGTACTTATCTATGACTGACTTGAGATATTGGGTACTCCCTGATTTTGATATTTTGAGGCACTAACTGTGGATAATTCCTTTATTGAGCCACTTCAGGATTTCGAGATTGAAAATGCGAAAAAAAGCACAATCGTCTTCGGATTTTAAAGGATACCTCGACCTTTCAATCATGAGAAGCAAATTGAAAGCTGAATATTTGTTGGATTAATTTGTTCAAAGGCACCATAATTTGTTGGATTAATTTGTTCAGGATTTTGAGAATGAAAACGTGAAAAAAGCACAATCGTCTTCGGCTTTTGACGATCCCTCGAATTTTCAACCATGAGAAGCAAATTGAAAGCAAATTTTGGGAATAATATAGGTTATTCGTTTTTTGTTGCGCTAATTAGCTTTTGATTGATTTTTTAGATAGTGCAATATGGGCTATCATACCCATTCGGTAGATAGGGTTTTGTTGGGTTAATTTGTTCAAAGGCACCATAATCTTAGGCATATGGGTTCTTAGCCAGCTGTATCAAACATAATAGAGAGTTTTTCGAATCCGTGTACGCAGTCACATTTGCTCCTGCCACCACATTCAATATGGTGCATACTTGTAGTGCGTGCTTATTATTCGTACAACTGTATAGACTTGTAAGAAATTGAAAGTTCTTTCGGGAATCAATGTAGGGGGGCTTAAATGAATAAAACCAAACACTTTAAATCTTTAGTATACGTGCGACATTTTACTGGAACTTGAAAGTTAAATCCTTTGTCAGTTTCGTTTTCTCTTTCTTTCTGACATTAAATTCTGCTCGTTTTTTTTTTTCAAAAGAACGCTGAGCTCCTACCCTGGGACGGAGCTTGGGGTAAGGGTAGGCAATCGTGTTGCCTCCCTCTACTCCAATTTTACTAAGTTGGTATATATTTGAATGCAAAATGGTAAAGTAATTACATTTCAAAAATTTCTGAGAAGTGAGAACTAAAAATACCGCTTCCTACTTTTGTTGTGTTGTCCATGACAGCCTCGTTGAAGTGATTGGCTTTTGTTGAACTAGAAACGTGGTGTGTTTATACAAACATCTGATGATGAAAAAAGTCATTGCCTGATTAGTCTCGATCTGAAGCAATTTGCAAATAAATCCTAAATCTTTGGTTGGTACTTTGTAAGTATTAACTTCTTATGCTAATCTGGTTCGTATACTGTAATGGTACCAAAATTTGTATCTAGAGGATGAACAATAGGTAATATGTTTGGATGGGTAGCCATGCTGTGACGTTGAATTGACTTTATTATTGTGTGGTAGTGCTGTATATTGTGATAGTTACCAAGTGAACTTTCGTCGCTTTATCATGCTGTTAATGCTCAAGATGATGTTTGTTGACATTCTCTATTTCCATTATGCAATTTTCATAAATCATAATCATTTGTTTTCCACCCATGTCATTGAGTAAAACGAGTTACGTTTTTTGAGCTACTTAGGACCTATATGCTTTTATCATAATGGGAATCAAAATGATTTTGAAGTTCAAAACAGGTTTTTTTTTTTTAATTCAAAATCATTTCAAAAACCTCGGTTTGTTTGTGTTCTTTGAACACGTTGGACTTGGTCAGTTTTGTAACTCTTATGTGCTTTTGATCAGGAATGTAAATTTTGAAATAATAGTAGTGGATGATGGGAGTCCAGATGGAACTCAGGAGATTGTCAAACAGCTACAGCAAGTATACGGGGAAGATCGTATTGTATGTTTTCAGTAACTAACTTTTTCGTCTATGTAGCTTATGGTTTCTCCACAACTATAGCTTTTATTGCTGTATGTTTACTCATAGTGCTTTGGTAATGCAGTTGTTGAGACCCAGAGCGAAGAAGCTTGGCTTGGGTATGTATTTAGGCATCCTCTATTTTAAAATGTCACGGTGAAGTATTCTAAATATTTTTTGTTTTAGGAACGGCTTACATACATGGTCTGAAGCATGCGACTGGAAATTTTGTTGTGATAATGGATGCTGATTTATCTCACCATGTAAGTTTGCTCCATCAAATGCAACTATAACTGGTTTTATATTTTACCTTACACATCGACTCACTGTTTTTTTTATATAAAGTACATCTTTATTTAATCCCGTTGAGCTGAGTTTCTTTTGTCATGCTATTTGACAGCCGAAATACCTGCCAAGCTTTATCAAGTAAGTATTCTGTAAGAGTGATGTACTGGATTTCATGATCTTGGTATGCACATTAGTTGACAAATATTCTCGAACTCAGGAAACAGATAGAGACAGGTGCAAGCATAGTTACTGGAACTCGATATGTTAGTGGTGGTGGGGTCCACGGGTGGAATTTGATGCGTAAATTAACGAGCAGAGGAGCGAATGTTCTTGCACAAACACTTCTCTGGCCAGGTGTATCAGACTTAACTGGATCATTCAGGTTATTATAATACAACTTCAGCCGCAATTTTTTGTTCTCTCTCTCATACACGCACACCCTTAAATTTGATATCGCCTTTTCTCGTTTTGAAGGCTGTACAAAAAATCTGTGCTTGAAGATGTTATAAGCTCGTGTGTGAGTAAGGGATATGTTTTCCAGATGGAGATGATTGTTCGAGCCTCTAGAAAGGGTTACCACATTGAAGAGGTGATCACAATTTCTTTTTCCTCTCTTTTTTTTTTTTTTTTTTTTAATAGTGTTTTCTCATGTTCCTTTAATTGACTGTTGATTGGTGATTTAAACTTGACTAGGGATGTCTGTATATAGTGCTAGAACCTAAACAATATTATTGATTCATCAAACCCTCATAGAATTAAGTATAGGTGCTTAGCTTCAGATTCGGACATGATATTCGTATAACAAGAACTATGAATAGATCAACTTTTTCTAACATTTCCATAACAAATCAATCTCTACACTGTATTGAACTTAAGATGAAATATATCTGAACTATACCTTAATTTTATCATTTATACCTATGCAGACATAAACAATTGCAACAGACCACTCAGAGTAATGAATCTCGAAGAATTAGGACCTCGTATTTAACTTGATGTGTGAATTTTCAGACGCTTTTCTGCAACGACAATAAAAATGCCTTCGATTTTTCTCGTTTTTAAAAGATAGTCGTTCTAAGCGCCTCATATTCTTTGACTTGGTTTAAACTGCTCCATGATTAACGGTTTCGCTTTATGGTTTCACTTAAGAGTATATTATTGTGATAAGGACTAATGCTGTTGTTTTAACACCTAAACTTTTAACTGTCAAGTTTTTTTTTCCTTTTTTTTTTCTGTGTGAAAACTTGTCTCTGATATGGTCTTTTCACCTTTGAATAGGTTCCAATTACTTTTGTCGATAGAGTATACGGAAGCTCAAAACTTGGAGGATCGGAAATTGTGGAGTATCTCAAGGGACTTTTGTACCTTCTTGTTACAACTTAAAACGGAACAGAATTGATCGATTGTGATAATCAACTCTTTGCATTTTACAGAGCTTTCTCGATTATAGGAGTACGAATTTTGCAGAGCTTTTTTGTGACTATACAAGTTTAAATGAACAGATAATTTATACTCTCCAATATGAATCCAGCTTTTGTGTGTGTTTTATCTTCTTCTGCTACAGTTTTTAGATAATTTATGTTGTTCGAAAGTGTTCTTGCAAATTGTCGTCTGATTACATGGCAAAGTTTTTACATCACATATGTAATATGTTTAAAGATCATACATTGTGGAACTTGAATTCTTTTCTGATTGGAATTTGTACTAGAAAATCATACATTTTTATATACAAACAACAAAGCCTCTGAGCTACAAAATCTTGAACCGGCCGTCCACCACCACTCGCGCGGGGGCATCCCACAGCTTCGGCAGATCGCTTAGCCCCGTTCATCTTCGGCGCAAGGGCGCTCGATATTTAACAGTTCACTCAAAATACTTGAGCAAGAAACAGTCAACCATACATATATTAGAATTCAAAAAAATCTCGAAATTGAAGTCGCGAAAATCAGAAATTTTATTCCAATTTCAACCCCATATAATCGAAACAAAGACTTGGGGTTCATAGACAGTCTTCAAAATTTGAAGTTCCTGAAAATTTTATTTCTAGTGTTTGACAATTCAATCAAAATACATTTAAAAAAAAAAAAAAGACACAATATTTGCAAACCAGAAATCATAATCCTCATTGAGTAGAAATTGAGGTAATACAAACTACAAAATGAAGGCTATTTTAGCTGCATAGCCCACAATTTATCATCACCAAGAACCAAAAATTCAACCATCATTCACCAAATCATTTGTTTTCTGTAAATTAAAAAAAAAAAAAAATGTAATAAGCAAGAACACACACAAACACACACATTTTATTTAAATCATCTTTCCAGTCCTTCTAACTCCGACTTTCCTCTCACTAACCCCAACCGATCTCTCAACGCTCGTCATAGACCCCATTGGTAGCGGCGGCTTCCGATTCTCCTTACTACTACTCCTCAACGAATACCTCGGCGTCCTAGCCTCCCTCCTCTCCGCCACCGGAGTGGCGGCGGCAGCCGCCGCCACCGACTTCCTCCGCCCCTCCAACTTTCCAGCGACCTCCCGTTTCTTGGCTGACTCGACTCTAACGCCTAGACCGTAAACGGGCTTGTTCTCCGTTTCGCCTTTCTTTCTCTTCAGCCTCTCGTTTCTTCGGGCCGAGTACTCGTCGTAGAATCTTCCCCTCTCGAATAAAGGGCTTCGTTGAGAACCATTAAACGCACCACCACCGTTGAAAGCGGCGTCCTCATTTCCAGTCCCGAGTTCTTGATTCACCATTTTGGCTAAAGCCCTTAGTTCGTAAGAGATTGTGTTGTATTCGGGTCGGAGCCCCGATTCCTCCATATCCCATTTCCGGTTCGGCAATTGGGATTTTGTCAAAGACCCTGTTTTTTTTTTTTAGCCCCCAACATCAAATTCAATAAAATCACAAACGGCAACAAAATTAAAACACACACAAATAAAAAATACAATGCGTTGAAATAAATACCCGGTGGGGTTTGGACGGAGGCGGCGGCGGTGGGCGGAGCGGCCTTGCCACGGGGGCGGAGGCGAATCGGAGATCTAGCGAGTGGGGGCTTCCCGTTGGATCTGAGCATCATCCTCGACATTTTTTCTTCTTGTGTATGAAAATGCAAACGATTTTCTAATCGTAGAAGAAAATTCTCCGAGTTCGTGATTTTGAATCGGTAAATTGGGTTTTAGGGTTTGGAATTTTTTAAAGTAAATTGTAACAGTTGGGTTTTGTATTAGGTTTTGAATACTTTTCAAATATTTCAATAGAGGGGGGGGAGCGTAGTCCAACGGTCATATAATCTTGATCGGACGGCTTAAAATGATTGTTTGAAATGGAAAGGCTTAATTCCACCTTGCACCCTTAAAATATAGCATTTTGGCATTTTACACCCTCCAAAATAATTAATAGCACTTTGTACCCTCAAAACACTATAAATCATTTACAATCCACCATCAATTGAATATTTAAAACTTAGTGAGGGTAATTTCATTTTTTTATTATTTATTTTATTCCCAGAGTGTAAAATAATAAATTAAATTTTTATTATCTTCTACCTCCAACATAAATTCGAGCGTAGCGTACAAAATGCAAAAAACCTAAATAAATAATCAACGAATTACCGAAAAAAACTATAAATTCTTAAAAAATCAAAAAAAAAAAAAAAATCTCACTAAATCATTCGATTGATAGATCTTTACTGTTATTAGTGAATATATTTGATAGAAAACTTCAAAGAAAATATAATTTTCAAATAACTCGATAACAAACTAGAAGAAGGATTTTTATAAATATTTTATTTTTTGTAAAATATTTTATTTTTTGTAAAATATTTTTTTTTCACATTTTTTTAAATATACAGATGAGATGTATTTTTGCACTTAGTTATTTTAAAAGGATTGATGAATATAATTTTTTTTTTTTTTTTGACATTTGGCATCCTAAACAAATGCTACTAACAATATTAAATTATCTTCATTAGCTTTAAAAATTCATTCCGAGTTCATTATGCATGATTTATTGTGTTTTGAGGGTGCAAAGTGCTATTAATTGTTTTTTATGGTGCAAAGTATCAAAATACTATATTTTAAGGGTGTAAAATGGAATTAAGCCATATGGAAATGGGCGGTGATGGCGATATTCCATTTTAATACAGGTTTCAATATTATTATCGGTCATTTGCATTCGTCTCCCCTAATCTTTAATTATTATCGTAATTACACCCTAAATTTTCATATGTTTACATATGCAACCAACATTCAAGTTTCTTATAATATTAATATATTTTTTTTCTTCTGAAAAATGTTAATTATTCTTTAATCACATACAAACATGATGCAACACATGTTTGATATTTTTTCAATTACAGCTCTTAATAATAGTCCTATTGCTGATTAATTAAGCACACTGGTCATAGAGTGCGTTTGATTCTCGTATTGCATTTTTATCTCGGTTTTATTATGATATTTTGTATTGATCGTCCACAATCATTGGTAATTACATTCTAATTGTTTTAGATTTCGGAATATACACCCTTTTCATCATTTTTTGGATAATAATTAGAACTTGTAATTGAAGAAAACGAATTCAAAACATGTTTTAATTGAAGAATCATAATTGCCTACGCTTGAAAAAAAAGGTCTTAAATCTTATGTCGATAGAACTTGTAAAGTATATAAATTTGTCGATAGAAATATAATTAATTGACAATAAGTATGTATATATATATATATATATATATATATATATATATATATATATATATATATATATATATGTCAACGTTATAATATTTTTCGAATTTGTAAATGTACCCCTATATTTTTAATATCTACACATTTCTCTCACGTTCCTGTATCTAATAATCCAAAAAATGAGATTCCAACGCTGTGTCCGTGCCACATAGATTCTAGTAAAAGATAGCAAATTATTAAAATACGTTAAGTCGTTTTACACCTCATTCGATTGTGATTATTAAGTTTTATATACTAAATAAATAGTAGAAGTTAATGAAAAGTTCAATTAATAAGATTTATACTTACTCAAATTCGCTGTAGATGTTAGAATTCCCAATTAAATGTTATTGTGATTACTTTTATAGGTGGTGACTAAACAATGAAAAGATGATTTGGTGAGTAAAAATATTTCATAGACAAATCACATAAAATATCATAATTTAATAAATTTTATACAAGATCTGATTTAAGGAATCAAACATCTTAGTAATAATTAGTTAGTCAACATGAAATCCAATAATATATAATGCAATCCACTTAATAAAAAATAATTCAATATAGATAACCGAACGAGATATATATGTACACGCGGGTAGTCAAATCTTACTCGTTAAAAATTTATCGATTATCGAATGTAGCATCAAACAAACCAGCGCAACATGTTATTAGGTCAAATTATGGGTCATATTAATTTAAATCATGAACGACAAAACTCTCAATTTAGTGGGTTTAATTTGATGCTCAATTTGTCTGTTTATGATGTTCTCGTGAATATGGACACATGACGTGTAGCTAAATCAATTTGAATCTTGTCTTCAAATATTAAAATAGATTTTGTATTTCATAAATATATAAATAATATATAATAATCGATTTCCAAGGCCAACTCATAAGAATTCGACGATCATTTTTTAAGCTCTTTCAAAGCGTGTGTTAATATTTTTTTGAAAAATTGTTAAAAAAATTCAAAAAATAAGTTGTTGGGGGATTTTTAAGTTTTTTTTTTAAATTATATTTACCCCATATTTTTATTTAATATTTTATAATAAGTAAAAATACCTTTTAAACTCATTAACCAAACACTCTAGAAATTAGTTTAAAAATAAAGTCTCTAACAGCTTATCAACTCTTAAAACTAGGACTGAGACTGAACTAGGTCGGTCGATTATCGGCCTAAAACCCGACCCATCCGACAAACCAATTTTGTTAAAATTTGAAAATAATTGCGGACCCAATCTTTTTGTGTCGGTTGATGGTTGGCAACCAAACCTTTAGTTTCGAAATACGTCGGTTGATGGGTATATCCGCCACTTAGTTTACTTAAAAAAGTAAAAATCTTAGAGTAAAAGTATGCGCATTCCACCTAGTGCCACTAGCCATGATCATTTATCAGTTCAAAATAATCAATAGCAATTCAACAAAAAATATAATTACGAAATTCATATTAATTCCAAACACGCACATTCTCAAATTTTCGTAGAAGATTTATGTCTAACTTTTTTCCTTGTGTGTTTTTTTTAATTTAAAATCCCAACTCTTTTGATAATTATATACCCACTTAAAAAAAACCATTAACCGAATCCATTACGAAATTCCAACTCTTTTGATAATTACGAAATTCATATTAGTTATCGATCAACCGAATTTTGATAATATTAGAAACCATTAACCGATCCATTATACATAAGTTGGTATAAAATTTCGACCCGATTCAATAGGTCAGTTAAAAGTTTATTATCCACTTAAAAATATGGTCAGTAATGAATCGGTTGTTGGGTAAAAATCAACTCAGTCCTACCTTACTTAAAACAACTCATCAAACACAAGATCTTATCGGCTGTCTAAAATAAATTTAGCCAAACGAGCTTTAAGTGCACTCAAAAGAATTAATTAACACACATACGCAATATCGAATAACTATCACAAGTATTACCTAGATCATAAATTATTTAGAATTGGCAAATGAAATATAGCCATATGCCCATTTCTTGGCTAACCTATGAGTATACAATACCTGCACTCATTTCTGACAAGTGTTTTAAATTTCTTCAAATTCAAGAATCAGAAATAGTCAAGAAATTTACAAAACATTAAACTTCACTAACCCCTATAAACTTCTTGGAAAGATGATCAATTTGTGCACATACACACAGTTTAAAATAATATATTAATTTGAAGTCAACATTGTTGACATACACTATAGCATCAATAAATTAATACTTGATAAGTTAATACTTCCGCTTAAATAATAAATAATAAATAATAAATAATAAATAATAAATTGGTTCGAACTCAGTAAAAACATATTAATATTAGTTAAATAATTAAATATTTAGTTAAATTAATAAAGTTTTGTTAACCTTAATTATATTAATTTATAAATGTTTAATTGTGTTCGCAACGACTATGTGAGATTCATCTTGCTTTGACCGGTCTCTCTCTTCAAACCTCATTATTTTGGAAAAAAAATCCCATTTTGAAAAGAATTCAAGTTCTTGATTTTTTTTGTTGACTTTTTTCTTCTCCATTTAAGTTTTTTTGTTTGTACGTTGGATATGGTCGTGTGAATTTAATTTTTTAGGATTAACTTTCTTTTTTTAATGAAAGGAATCCGCAGTCAAATTATATAGGTACATTGGTTAAACCTACACTCTCGTATAATATAGCTTGAAAATTATACGAGAGACGTAAATTATATTAAGCCAAACATGCATGTGTGACTAATTCCACCTAACGACTGTTAGTAACGAGATTCGAATTTATGTCGATTGACACTAATTCACTTCCTACAACCGATAGACAATCATCCCTTACAGGTCTTAGGACTAACTTCGGTCCCAAAGTCGATTAGTTTACCGGCTAATTACACATTATGAACTCTTTATTGTAAAATGGAATAATTTTAATAGATAAATATAAGTGAATTAAAATTAAAATAAGGGTTTATTAGGGAAAACCCCCTTGTTCATATTTTCTAATGAGGTAGATCCAATTTTTTTTCCCCTTTTTGAGATACACCCAATTTTGCCAACTTGGCAAAATATATTATATAATTTTCCTTCAATACCCATGTTTTATTATTAAACGGCATTTATTTCCTTTAATACGTGATATGAGATTTGCTGATACGTTGCCTAAAATCACGGAATAAATTTACGTGAGATCATTGGCCGTTATATCAAATCGTGTACAATATTTTTTGAAGATTCTCTTCATCGTTCCAGCGGGTTTTATCGTCTTTGAAGATTTCTGCACCGTCGTGGAAATAGGATCGATTTTTGAGCGTTTGTTGTTGGACGTTGTTAAGCGGGTATGAATGCGTTATTCGTTTTTATTTTTCGCTCAATGTCCATGATTGTCGTGTACGGTGGTTAGAAATTTTTAAGAGTTGTGTTGATACTTGATTCTATTAAGTAGAACGTTTTTTAACAAAATTATTCCGTCATATATATATCGTTTTTTTTTGCCGATGATGTTTGTTTGGAAGAGGATTGACAGAGTTAGAAGAGGATGGTTCACGTATATCGGACCAGAGTTGTTTTATATGAACATCGTAGTTGGTTTATGCAATAATTGAAATAACTGTCCGCTGTGGTTGAGTTCATGAGTTAGATCCCGTTCGATAGTTGGTTTATTTGTGTATAACAGTAGATTTTAGGGTGTTGGGTAGTACATTAAAATATATTTCGTAGTCTTTTTTAATTTAGCGTATGGATTTTGCATTTTGAGTTTATTGTTGATCATATTAATATATTTTTTAGTATTCTGTATTTTTAATGTCGTATCATGATTCAAGGTATTTTCGATGGCGAATTTTGTACGGATTTTGTTGAGATTTGGTGGTTTGGTTGCTATAAAGAGGTGTTCGAATGGGTTTACTCGCGGCTCATTGGTTGCATTTGTTATTTCAAAGTGGCCACAACTCGATGGGTGGGATATAAGCATGACATATAGGCTGGAAGGCATTGTCCGCTGTGGTCGAGTTCATGTTTTTGATCCCGATCGATAGTTGGTTTATTTGTTTATAACAGCCGATTTAAGTGTGCTGGGTAGTACATTAAAATATAGTTCGTAGTCTTTTTTAATTTAGCGTATGGATTTTGCATTTTAAGTTTATTTTTGATGATATTAATGTATTATCATTCAAATGTATTTGCAGTCTATTTAATCATTTTTTAGTATTCTGCATTTTTAATTTTGTTTCATGATTTTAGGTTTTTTCGATGGCGAATTTCGTACGGATTTTGTTGAGGTTTGGAGGGTTGGTTGCTATAAAGAGGTGTTTACGATGTAATGGCTCGGTAACTTCGGTTAAGTGTTAAACCGTTGTAATAAAGTAGTATACTATTATGAATACCATATGATACTACCATTATCATTTTATTATACTATTATGAGATTATTAATGTATTAGAGTTTTTTAACTCGACATATTGGTTTGATTGTGTTATGATGTGTTTTATGTATTTTATCAAAACCCTAGATTGAAATTATGAGATTATTAATGTACTATTTTATTGGTTATGTTGGAATACTTTACGTTGGTGTTGTTCTCAATGTTCTTGTCATTTCAGTGGTATATTGTTTGTAACACAATTTCATGTCACTACTATAGCCGTAATATACTATCATATCAGATTAATGTACTATATTGAAATTATTAATATACTATGTGGTTGAATAATACGGGATCCATAGTCGATTAACGAGATCCATAGTCGAATTAGATCAATAAGATAGTCAATTACATGATATAAGGAAAATTACCCTAATTGATTAGTATTTCAAACAAACATATTATTCAGTTTCCATATATATTATTATTTTTTCATATATATTATTATTTACCCTAATCGTTTTCATATAATAAGGAAAATTACCCTAATTGATTAGTATTTCAAACAAACATATTATTCAGTTTCCATATATATTATTATTTTTCCAATAGTCAATTAACTAAGCTCATAGTCGAATTAGATACATGGGATAGTCTATTAAAAGATATGAGATAGTCTATTAATTTTAAAACACAAATCCGCCGCCGTCACTTCTCAAATCTAGGGTTTTGATGATTCTTCGGCCCATAGTCGATTAACGAGATCCATAGTAAAATTATACCAGTGGGATAGTCTATTAAATGACATGAGATAGTATATTAATACAGATGCAATTCGGCATCTCGTTAATCAACTATGGGCCGAAGAATTATCAAAACCCTAGATTTGAGTAATCCTAGATTTGAGTAACCCTAGATTGGAGCAGTGACGGCGACGGCGACGGCGGCCAACGACGATATCACTTCTGGTGGATGTCCTGCCCATCAATTGTTGCAATATCACTGATTTAGTGCTCGAATTCGGTATGCGATTATAACAGATCTGCAATTACACAAACGTGATAGTCGATTTAGCCAAAACATATCAACAAATCGATGGACTATAGCGATGCAACGAGCGGCGAAGACGTACCTATGGCGGCTTGCTCGGAGTGCACGTAGTCGTCGTTTCACGACAGTGCAGATATCTTCCGCGTTCAATCGGCCGTTCCGGGAAGTGGTTGTGGGAGGTTTTGCAGTTTATTTGATAGTGGGTTTAACGGGAAATAAGGAAGGGATTTGATATTATTTCAAAAGGTAAAGTAACGGGATTCGTGGGATTTGATTAAGGGTAATAATGTAATTAAGAAAAGTTTGGGCTTTTATCAAAATGGCAAATTTAAATTTGGGTCTACACCTATTTTTTGAATGTTTAAGGGGGTTATATCTAATAGACCCTTAAAATAATGCAATTTGACAACAAGTTGAACCAAGTTGAAACTTAACAACACAACTCTCTCATTAAGACATTAACCCCCAACTCTCAACAACTAGTGTTCCTTTGACAACTTCTTCACATTCAATTCCTCAAAAGTCAAGAGGTCAACGGAACATGAATTTTCAATGGATTTGGACAATAATTCAACCAAGTCAATAATTTTTTCTTTTAATTATTTAAATTAATCAAAATTAATTGTCAGAATTGCCACTTCAATTTATCAAATTTGTAAGAACTAAGGTTGTACTCACTTCTCAGACAAGATTGTCCTACATTTGCATAAATGTTATTGGTGGTGGTTGCAAAAGTTTTTTAAAATTAAGTAGTTTATTATGAGCTTGTTTTGGATCATAATTTGTTTATTATTATTTTTAAATAAACTATTTTAAAGTGGTGTTTGCAAAAGCTTTTAAAAATAGATTATGAGCTTTTTTCTCACACAATTTGTTTTTAGATGTTTGCAGAACCGACTTTTACTTTTGCTTCTCTTAAAATAAGCTGTTTTAAGCTATAATTTTAAAAGCACCCGTGTACCTGTTTTTCCTATTTAAATCAATTTTCTATTTTTTTTTACAAACACCCCCAGCTTTCAGAATTAAGCACTTAATATCAACTTAACTCACAATCACTTACCTATACTCTTAAATAAGCTTTTGCAAACACCATAGCTACAAAGTCAAAAGCACTTCTAGAAAACCTTCTTTTAAGGAAGAAGTATTTTCAAGTTAGTTAGATGTATTTTCCCATATATCCATATAAAGAGAGTGTTATTTCAATATATATTGTATCATGTTATGCTATTATTATATGACTATCCTATAATAAAATTGTCTAAGGTCTAACTATTCTGGTTAATCAAATTTTAATTTTCTCCGCTTATCTATTTCAACACGGTATCAGAGCGAGCGACGTTTGCAATTTGCAAATAGCAATAACCAAAATTAAATTTCTAAAAGTTGGGAGTAAAATTTGTCTAATGGCGGTATGTGTTTGCGAACCCTCCCAACTTCTAGAAATTAATAATCCTTTCTCACATATAATTAATCACCAATTTCACTTCTACAAAAAAAAAACGAAAATAATAAATAAATAAATAAATTTGCAAACTTGTTGCTATAAAAGCAAAACCATGTCATCCTGTATTTCATCCCATGAAGTTGTCTTTAATTCGAAACATAAAAAATAAAATCAAGAATCCAACGTGCATTGAAAACCAGTACTCTCTCTCTCTCTCTCTCTCTCTCTCTCTCTCTCTCTCTCTCTCTCTCTCTCTCTCTCTCTCTCTCTCTCTCTCTCTCTCTCTCTCTCTCTCTCTCTCTCTCTCTCTCTCTCTCTGTATAATATAATAGCAATTTGTACCAAGTTGTCTATGCATGCAATGGATTTTTCAATATCACATGAACCAAACAATGAGAAGAAGAAGAAGCAAATAGCAATAATCGGAGCCGGCATAAGCGGAATCCTCGCATGCAAACACGTCATCGAAAAGGGTTTCGATCCTCTACTTTTCGAGTCCCGAAACGGGATTGGTGGAGTTTGGTCAACAAACACCATTGACTCAACCAAGCTCCAAAGTCCCAAAGATTACTTCCAATTCTCCGATTTCCCATGGCCCGATTCCGTCACCGAAACGTTCCCCGATCATAACCAAGTAGTGAACTACATCACTTCTTACGCTCTTCATTTCGATATTTTTTCGAGAATCAAATTCAATAATAAAGTTATTGGAATTGAGTACTGTAATTCATCGATTATCGATGAAGACGATATGTCTAATTGGGATAAATGGGGTGGCACCGGTGAAGCGTTTTCGACTAATGGAAAATGGAATATTCTTGTTCAAAATATCTTGAATCCTATGGATGCTCCTAAGGTACCTACATTCAATATTTTTTTTAATTAATTACTTAATTTTTTGTATTTATAATTAGTATTAATTATACCTTGTTTGTGATATGATGATTTGTTTTTTTTTAGGTGTATGAAGTGGATTTTGTGATATTATGCATAGGGAAGTTTAGTGATTTGCCAAACATGCCTTATTTTCCATTAAATAATAATAACAAAAATAATAATGTGTTTAAAGGAGAAGTGATACACTCAATGGATTATGGTGCAATGGACAAAATTGAAGCAGCAAAATTCACTGAAAACAAGAGAGTTACAGTTGTTGGTTTCCAGAAATCAGCACTTGATATTGCAGCTCAAATTGCTAAAAACAATGGTACATTATTTCTCTTTAATTAATTAATTAATATATATTTTTACATTAATTTTCTTAAATATTATATAAAATAATTATTTTTTATTTATTATTTTTTTATGTATATTTTCAGGTGTGAAATATCCATGCACACTAGTTTTCAGGAGAGTAAACTGGGCAGGTTCAGAAGACTTAGTCAAATTCACCTTCAAAAATCTGAATAGATTCTCAGAAATGATGATTCATAAGCCTGGTGAAGGATTAATTCATTGGTTTTTAGCAATTCTACTTTCACCTTTGGTATTATTTTTTAATTTTTCTTTTCGTTTCTAAAAGTCGAAAATTTAATTAAAAAATAAATGAATTACCATATATAATAGGGTAAATTCCTTTTTCTCCATTGTACTTTGGTTCGGTATCACTTTAACTCATTCTGCTCTCGATTGCATCTATTTGTCCCACTGCACTTCAAAAATTGTCTCAATGCGGACCTCACCGTTAGTTTTCAGACCTTTAACCTTAACACCGTTTGGTGTAACCTCTGAAATTACAAAAAACCCACCCCTCCCTGTGTAAATAATTATTGGAAAAAAAAAATTTGTGGCTACCGTCGTGGACTATGCTTTCTCGTTGTCTTGAAAATTTTTAATTTTTATTTTTATTTTTTTTTTGTTTTTTAATAGATATTTAAACTGGGAGGGGTGAGTTTTTTGTAAGTTCAGAGCTTAGACCTTAAAGTCAAAGTTCTGAAAACTAACGGCGATGGCCACATTGAGACAATTTTTCAAGTATATAGGGTGGCAAATTGATGCAATCGAGAGTAGAAGGGGGTAAAGTGATATCGAATCAAAGTACAAGGGGGAAAAGTGGAATTTACTCTATAATATATATAGATAACATAGTATATAATTCAAGAATCTCGATTTATTTCAGCGGTGGATATTTTCCAAATTCGTGGAATGGTACTTAAAATGGAGTTATCCGTTGAAGAAGTACAATATGGTACCGGACCACAGTTTCCTCAAACAAATATACTCGTGCATGTTTATGGTTTTGCCGCGAGGTTTTTACGAGAGAGTGAAGGAAGGGAGTTTGATCTTGAAGAAATCGAGGGCATTTTTGGGATTTTACCAAAACGGCCTTATTCTTGACGATACAATGTCGCCTCGTTTGGAGACGGATATTGTTATATTTGCGACGGGATATAAGAGCGACGAAAAGATTTCGAATATTTTTACTTCAATTGATTTGAAGAAATGCATTATTGGTTCCTCAGCTCCCTTCTACAGGTACAAACTATGGTTACCTTAATTTAGACATATAACTTGATATAAAATGACTAAATTACCCTTGCTAATATGGTAAATAGATTTGTTCATCTGTCATAAATAACCCCCTTGGCCCCTTCTACTATTAATATTGGCACATACACAATATAATAATTTAAATTTAAGCTTTAAATTTATATTTATTAAATAGATATTAAATTTGAAATTGAATTTTTAATTGGATTAAGACATATGTTTCGAGTTTTGGTAATCAATGACTCAAACAAAAAATAATTAAGTTTTTTACTATATAATTAGTATTTTTATTTATTTATTTATTTATTTATACTTATAATTTAATTTTTTTCATATGATGAAATTTTTTAATTCTAAAAGTAACTTCTTACGCTAAATATTATCTAATTTTGGACTAAATAGTTTTCTAACCTTGGTTTTACAAACACAAATTAATTAAACCTTAAATTTAATTTCAAACTAAAAGGTAAAATAATAATAAAAAATTATTAGCTTGAAAATTTAAATTAGTTTTTTTTTTTTTTTAAATATGTTGCAGGGAGTGCATTCATCCGAGGATTCCACAATTAGCGATACTCGGGTACTCCGAGAGCCCGGCAACCTTGTTCACGTTCGAAATGAGAAGCAAATGGATATCACATTTTCTCGCAGGAAAATTTAAGTTGCCTCCGATAATCGAAATGGAAGAAAATGTCCGTAAATGGGAAGAAAACGCACGTCGTTATAGCTGCGAAAACTATAAGAGGGCGTGTGTCGCTGCGCAGCTTCAAATATACTGCAATGATCAGCTCTGCAGTGATATCGGGTGCAACCCTAGACGAAAGAAATGGTTTTTTCAGGAATTATTTTCACCTTATCACCCTATAGATTATGCAAATATTTGATTATGTCATTGGTTTTTTTTTTAATGATGCTTGTTTTATTCAAAAAAATCATTTTCGATTTCTTTAATCCGATTGTTGTTGTTTCTTTTTTTTTTTGGGAAATTTTTGAACTGGAATCGAAGATGGTTGTTTCAAGAGTTATTATCTCCGTATCGTAGAAAATATTCTCTATATATAGAAAATATATTGGGCGGAATTTTCGAACACGACTTAGTAAGAAAAGATTCGTGCAAACATAGTACCAAGACCAATAAACTAGACTGTCTGTATTTACATAACTACATCTCATCACAACATTCGAAACGAAATCTCTAACAAACCGGAAAAAAGAAAAAAAAAGAAAAACCGAAGAGGTGCATTTATAGTTCGTCGTCATTTGATTTCTCATCATCGGTGTTCAATGTTTTTCGCCATTTACTCCTAACAAGCTCCGTGTCAAAAACGAGTGTTGCACAACCACCTGCAAGCATTATAACAATTAAACAATCCATAAAATAGTAAAAAACGAGCGTTGCACCTTCAGCTTCAGATTAAGGAGAAAACCTGAACTGATTTTATCTCCAACTGGCATTTTTTTTTACTGAAAAGCAGAAAATTAAAAGCTTACGAGTAAATCATAGTACAAACCGATTTCGTCCAAAGCAAAAAAAAAATAACTCAACCGTGATTCTACTCGAACAACATGTAAAATACAATACACGCAGACATTTTTGGATATACACAATTCTAGAAAAATAAACATTTTCAACCATTAAAAAAAACTTACTCAGTGTCTTTCTCTGAGCTCCCTCAATTTCCGAGCGACGGGGTTCGAAGCCATAATCAAAATCGAAACCAGGCACTTTCCAATTTTGCCCTTCGTGCTCACAAAAACACCCAAAAACAACCCGTAAAAATAATCGGTTAACCCGTATTCCTCTGGATCCATAAAGCACGCGAATAAGCAGAATACACTCCCTAACGCCCCCATGCATGCGCATAAAACTGCATCTTTGAAAACCGAAACCATCCAGACGCAAGCGAGTGGGAAAAACGCAGTCCTCAGAAACGTGAGTGCTATATCGACTAACAATCCACCCGATTCTATTTGAGCCGGGCTCGCTATCTCTTTCACGGCACAATAGAAAAGATATACGAACGGGATCAAAAGCCAATAAACAAGGAAAGCAACGGCAACGTAAAGGATAGAATGCATTTTTTCGGTGCAGATTTGAGCAGAGTGAAACGAGAAAGAAGAAAATGTGAAAAATATCGTATACAAAACCCCCCAAAAGAAACGACTCGGGCTCGTGTTCTGGAAGATGTTTCTCATCGCCATTTGGCGAGTAATCCTGAAAATCGAAGTTACAGTTTTGAGTGAGAGTGAGAACAACAAACTATAAATTCCAGACGTCAAACTGCAAAAAACTATGAATATTATCTATTGGGAAAATTGTAGCTTTGGTCCTCTATGTTTTAGTCCTCTAACTTGTCATGTTTCAGTTTTACATGCAAATATAGTATTTTTAGTCTTATTTTGCATGATTTTTTAATTTTATGACGCGACAAATAAACTTGACGCGTTTTACTTATATGGACGCTTGGAAAATGATAAATTCAACATCTAATTTACCATTGGTAGATCTTTAATTATGTGAGACGACACATCTATAAATCAAATTATAGGAGCATTTATAATTTTTAAGTGTCCATATAAATAAATTTCTGCGAGTTTGTTAGATACATCATTAAACGACGGCTAAAATTCAAAGTTCGAGTGGAATAGGACTAAAAATTACTAATTTTGCATAATTATTGCATGTAAAATTGAAACAAGATATAAGACGAAAATTACAATTTTCCCATTATCTATTCATTGGTTCGTTCTGAAAACGTACTTCAGATTGAAGTTTAGCAAATTCAAATACAAATAAAGAACCCTAAAGCTCCATTAAAATTCTCTCTTCTTAGCATAATTACATGCCCGATTCTGCAATTAACATATAATTAAACGTAGATTTAACAAAATTCATAAATTTCGAACACAGCTACACCATTTCTTCAAAAGTGCCGAAACACATGAGTACAATTAACTCATCAATTCATTGATCATTTCTACACAAAATTAATCAATCAACCTACGATACAATGCAATTAGATCGAGAGCGGCAGATCATCACCTAAAAAAATTATACGGGCCAAATACAATCGCAGCAATTACAACAAATTAGCACACATTTCGATGAATCGAGCATGCATAATTTAACTTCCATTTTTATTAAAACTTTACGATATCTCCACTACATTACTCTAACATGCAGAATCAACACAGAGGGGGGGAAAATAAAAACCTAAACCTTAAAACAAAATGTAAGAAAATTAAAAATGGAGTGATTTTCACCTCTTGATGATGCTCAAACACCGAAAAATGAAGAAATTCCTCGAAATAAGCACCGGGCGATCGTTGGCTCTCTGATACGAACTCCAATTTTGAAGAGAATTTACCTTTTTTTCTAGTCTGATTTCTAGGGTTTTATGTTATGTGAGCGAGAAGAAAGAGAAATGGAGAAATGGTGAAGGAAACTTGGTGGGGAAGAAGAACTGAATTGAAATGAAGGTTGGCTAAAACCCCCCTTCAATTTTCAAGGTTTTGGACCCGACCCGGTTTGATCCGACCCGTTATATCTGAAGGGCTAAACTCAATTTGGGAATTTTATTTTTCCCGCAAAATTTGATTATTAGATCCATCAAACAAACGACGTCGTTCAGTTAGTGGGAAAATGAAGTTAATGAATTACCAAACTCAATTAAAGGTTACATGGATGATAACCTAATAAGTCCATATATTCAGTTCTATAATTAAACTAGGTAAAAAAATTAAAATATATATATATATATTGTTATGAATGCATTCATTATACATTTAGTGTGGGTGTCAAAAACGTAAGAGTTTAAGTGGCTTCATTAATACTTCATGTATTCAATATGCTACTTGAGAACTATAAATAGATGCCATTGTAATGGATCTAAAACACACTTGAATAAACAAGAAAGAATAAGAAGAAAATGTTCTATTATCCTTACATTTGATCTCCCATATTCTTGTTTTACTTGATTTTCTTTAGTATATTTAATTATAACACGTTATCAGCACGAATTGTTCTACCTCACTATCCGGTAAGGATATAAATTGAAAGTATGTATGCACTCACTGTCATGAAGGTTTGTTGGTTGAGTATTCAATTATTCGGATGTGCATTCATTCACCAGGAATATTTATGGTCTAACCATTTTGTTAAAGGTCAAGGTGCACATATATGTATATTAGCATGAACTCATCCTGTAAATATATATAAACTAATGCATATATGTAGAAATGAAATATATTGAATTCCTATGTATATATGCTTATTTATACTTACATTTTATATCCATTCAACATTTAATTTATATGCATATAGTTTTATATTATACAGTAGAGTGTCTCTTCCTGTTATTAAATTATACATGTTAATTATTATCCTATGATTTAACTTTGTATTCATGAGAATGCCTTAATTTTCTCAAACCTGTTATTTGCGATTCTGTATGAATCCATTTCTTGTGTTTTGTCGTACACACATGATATATTGCATTTTCTGCGTATATAATTTACACCACTTTGTGCATAATAATAATATCAAACGTTTTGATACAATAAGAGATATTAATTTATTGATTTTATAAGTATTATTGTCAATTAAAATGCTATCTCTTTAATTATTATTTATTTGTTTTATTGTTATGCAAATTATCATAAGAACCTGAAGTTCTTTATAGAAAATATAGGCCCGAAGTCTATATCGAATATCAAAGCCTGAAGCTTGAATATATTGAATAAATTAGACTCAAACCTGAAGTTTTGAGTATACATATAATCTAAAGCACTATTAATTTTATGACACAGTGCTATGGCAAACATCACCAAGCTTGAGTTCGCTGCTCTAGATATTTCCGGAAGAAATTATCTAACTTGGATTCTTGATGCTGAGATCCGTTTGAATGCCATGAACCTCGGAAATACCATTAAGGATGGTAATGAGGAAAGTGAACAAGATAAGGCGAAATCAATGATTTTTATCCGCCATCATCTCCACGAGGGCTTAAAATCCGAGTATCTTGGGGTAAATGACCCTGCTACTCTATGGAATAATTTAAAGGAAAGATATGATCACCAGAAGAGTGTCATACTTCCTAAAGCTCGATATGAATGGATGCACTTGCGTTTGCAAGATTTTAAATCGGTAAATGAGTATAATTCCGCCATGTTTAAAATTGTTTCTCGATTGAGATTATGCGGAGACGATGTCACAGAACAGGACATGTTAGAAAAGACATTTACCACTTTTCATGCCTCTAATATGCTCCTGCAGCAGCAATATCGTGAAAGAGGTTTCACAAAATACTCTCAATTGATTTCTTGCCTTCTCGTTGCTGAACAGAACAACGAGCTATTGATGAAAAATTATAACTCCCACCCAACAGGATCACAAGTATTTCCAGAAGTAAATGCAAATGTTTCATTCCCTGAAGTGAATGCCAACAACTATAATCGTGGTCGGGGTCGTGGCCGTGGACGTGGGTATCGCCGTGGTCATGGTCGACATCAAGATGGTCCTAGAGTTGCACCATACCACCCGAAGTGGAATAAAAATGGTGATAAACAAGACAAGGGCAAGGCTGTAAAATTTGGCCCTCATAATAATCAAAATGAGAGTTGCCACAGGTGTGGAGTGAAAGGGCACTGGTCACGTGCTTGTCGTACTCCAAGGCACCTTGTTGATTTATATCAAGCATCCATCAAGGGAAAAAGAAAAGGGAAAGAAATCAATTTTACTAGATTTTAGCAACACCGAGAATGACCATATTGATCCAATGGACCTTACCCATTTGGATGTTGCTGATTTCTTTCCCGCGCCAAGTGGAGAAATTGATGAAATTAAATTTCATGGTGATGATAACAATGATGGCAACAAATAGATCAATCAGGATTGATCAAATATTACATTTATGTTGCATTTGAGTTAAATAATGTTTATCTTTTCATTCCCTAAATGAGTTCGAAATAATTTTGGTGTGTGATTGGTGGTTTGATTGATATAAGAAAATAAATTTTATTATATCTTCTTATATTACTTATTTTATACCCAGAAAAATGGAATATAATGAGTCCGTGAGCAACCTGAACGATGGAGACATTTGTTTGGTTGACAGTGGAACAACACACACAATTCTTCGAGATCAAAAATATTTCTCGAGTTTGAAATTGGCGAAGGCAAGTGTTAGTACAATTTCTGGTACTACCAAATTAATTGATGGCTCCGGAAGAGCTAATATTGTTTTGCCTGGTGGAACGAACATTTTGGTCAAAGAGGCTTTGTACTCTAATAAATCCAAAAGAAACTTATTGAGTTTCAAGGACATACGTCTCAATGGATTTCATATCGAGACTATGAATGAGGGGAATATGGAATTTCTTTGTATTACAACAAATATTTCATGCCAGAAGCATGTTAAAGAGAAACTCCCAGTTTTCTCATCAGGGTTGTATTATGCGACTATAAGCGCAATAGAAACAAATATTTTGATGGACCAGAAGTCCAATGATCCGAAACTTTTCTCTCTTTGGCACGATCGACTTGGTCACCCAGGATCGACCATGATGCGTCGAATAATAAATAATTCATAAAGAACCAGAAGATTCTTTTGCCCCATGAATGTGTGTGCATTGCATGCTCACAAGGGAAATTAATTATAAGACCATCTCCAATGAAAATTAGTAGCGAGGCCCCAACA